TCCATTAAGATCCTATGGGTTCCTTTAGATCACGGTATAAATATAACCGGATCAGCGATGGGAAATAGTATCAAGTCATGAGACATCTAGTACTACTATCTGGACATGTGGTGCGTTGTTTTCATTTTATCTTTAAAGAGATTGCAGTCTTAATACACTGTAAAGAAAACACTTTAGATGATGACCATCAGTCAGAGAGATAAAGAAACACATTAGTTTCTAGGAATCTATCTGAGTGGACGCCACCTTTTTAGGTTCCTATTTATGCCGCTAAAAATCAGTCCTTGCAAATTAACAGGCTCTCAGGTATTCCATCTTAGTACTCGGTGGTGACAACGCATCTGTAGATTGTAGTGTCCAGTTACTATCAGGTGGATACTAAATTAGTTTGTGCCTACAGTTTAAAGAATGCCATTATTTTTTTAGACCTTGAGCAACCGAACTTTGATCCCCGGTACAAGTACTATAGGAATTATTAATTGCAATTTTATGTGTTAATTTATCAAGTTTTCGGTGGCGATGGAAAATATCGTGATTCTTTGTATTTTATTAATACGTAGGACACTCAATACATTTTAAGATATACAAAAAGTATTTTAGATACTATTAATATTTATTTTAAATCTTTTCAAAATATTCTCCATTATTCTCTATACAAAGTTCCATTCGTCTAAACCAACTCTGAAAACACTTTTGCCAGTCTTGATCTGACAGGTCGGAAATCGCTTCTTCGTAGGCAGCCACGGCTTCTTCGGCGCTTGAAAAAAACTTGCATTTTATTTTTTATTTGACTCTTTGGAATAAAAAGAAATCACAAGGAGCTAAGTCAGGGCTGTAGGGTGGGTGACTTAGAGTTTTAACGCCAGATTCCTCAATAAATGCTTTTGTAATGCAACTGTAGTATACGATTCGAAGCTGCCTGACCTACAATTTTCCAGCGTTGACGTCGACAAATATCCACTCCGCGAAAAAAACTAGCCACCATTTTTTTACCCCTTTTCAATTCAGCAAACCACCTAAAAACTGTTGCGCGTGATGGAACTGAGTCCCCTAATGCTGATTGTAACCGTTGTAAACTTAATTGTTCTTTTAAACCAAATTTAAAATCATAATAGTTCATATCGCGCAAATGTTCACGGTTAAGATCCATCGTTTTAAATGAAAAGCGCGGGAAGCGTTGCAGGAAAATTAATAGAACTTTGTTTTTTTTTTAATATTGAGCAATTGGCTTATGGAGTTCTATTTTTAAATAAATTTGCTTTTTAGAAACATAATAACACGGATGCGTTCCATTTTTAAATTTCGAGCATCTCAAAACTTATTGAGTGACCTATAGTATTTATGTATTTCTAGGAAATGTGAGTATCTTAACACACTTATTGGGGCAGACTCTTTTTACTTTATTACAATATCCACTATGATATGATGTTAAGTATGTTTTTAACCGACTTTAAAAAGGAGGAGGTTATCAATTCGACTGTATGTCTCTTTTATGTGTTTTACCTCAGACTTTTTATCTGTTCTGATTATACTTATATTTAAGTCAGTTGTACAAAAATTTGCAAATTTTATTTTTACCACTCGTTCTACTTAGGAGTATATCAAGTAAGTAAACACAAAACATGGAGTTCAGCCACCTAAGATCTCATTCGTATGTTTCTATTTGCTGTGTCATCACTAAGATAATGTATGCAACATGATAGCGTTGATATCGCGATTAGCGTGTTTGAAATGTGATAAGTCGCTTAGTGCAGAATAATCTTGATTATTGTTTCGCCTTCCGTGAAACAGAAATTTTAAGCCAACACAACCTCCTTTGTTCATTCGTGTAATTAGAGATTTTTGTTTATTATGAAGTGATTTTGTAAGGTTTCGCACTCAAAGGGTAAGACGGTGTCCTATTAGTGTCATTCTTCTCTTTATCTGTCTGTCTGTTCGTATGTCTGACTAGACATACGTAGCTCGTAGAATAGACATGTGTTTGGTATTTGGTGTTGTTAGTTTTAAACCGATTTTGCTAGGAGATCTGTCTTAGAAACTAACCTAGTTAGGAATTTGAAATTTTCTACCAATAGTTAACCAACATTTGGATAAATTATGAAATGTGAATATTTATGTAATGTGTTGTCTTAAAACCGAATATTGAATTAATAATGTAATATAATTTTTTGGTGGGGTTTTATTCACTTAAAAATTTGACGGGAGTCGAAGAAACTTAAAAGTTTTTATTATTATATCTTGTCAAAGAACTCTTCACCAGCATCTGCGGATTTTTACATGTATACCAATTTTTGAAACTTTTTCTAGTGCGCCTCGGATACCTACCCCTCTTCTACGGCACTCGAACGCTGTTAGTGCATCTAACAGCGATGAAAACTGTACTATGAACTGTTTCTTTCAGTAGTTTTTTTTTAGGGAATCAAATGAAGTCACTAGTTATAAATTAAGGGCTGTATTATATAGGAGGGAGGCGTGACCCAAGAGATAAACCCGTGTACTGTTCAGAATGTCTCTCGTTTTGAGCGCTGAGTGCGCAGTCGCGATGTCAGGGTGAATCAGTAGCCCGCCCGGTTCCACCTAATGCAAAGCTATCCTCCTTATTCAAAGGTGGTTTTATACGTGGTAGAGACATGCTGCAGTTATATTAGTAGTATAGTTGTAGCACGAATGGGTCGGCTCGACCAGGGAAGGACTACGCTCTCACAGAATATCATCGTAAAATAGTAGCTTAATGCTGCTGTGTTTCGTATGGTGAGTGTAGAGAACCGGAGACCCTTTTTACTGGAAACGAGGCATTCCATCTTAGTCCTCACGGGTGACAGCGTATTTGCATTTTGATTCGTAATCGAGGATAGATATAGACGTGTATGGGCCGCCGCAACCACTTACCATCAGGTGGACTGTGTGCTCGTTTGTCACCCTATCTTATAAAAAAAGGTATTCATGTAAATATTCGTAATATGTGCTGAATATTTTTATACGTAATTCGCCTAGTCTCTTCAAGTAAATTTTCACTGCTAGCACGTGTCCTTCCGTAACAACCATCAAAAACTACTTTCTTCAATTCTCAATGTTAGTCAACCGTGCTAAAATTAGTCGATCGATTGCCCTATAACTTATAACTTATAACCTATTTGGACCTTTATCCATAAATGTCATTTGAAGTTTATCAAATGATTTGGCCGGTTTAAAAAACATCGTCATGCAATAACGCTCGCACATATTTTGTAAAATCTTCTAAAATAAGAAATCACCTAGAAAACCCGAGAAGGTTTAATATTCGAAGATTGTTTTTATTTTATTTTCCGGATCAGCTGTGAACTGATTCCTTTATTCTTTTGTGACATGTATTTGATAATAATTTTAATTGTCAGACGAGTTAAACTCATTTTATAGTCAACCAAATCTAAGAAATACCTTTTGACGTTTCATTGATATGTCGCTATGTGATTAAAATTCGTTGTTATGCGAATAATCGACAAAAATATTCAAATAATCGGTAAAAATATTCAAATAATAGAATCATGAATTTTTTTAATGTATTATTTGTTTAGTAAAATTTTTATTTTTAAAATTCCTTAAATTACATGAATCATGAATAAAATAAGTTTATTTTTTTACTTTGTCAACGTAAATTTGTGTAGGCAAAAAAACTCATATAGAAGACCGCGCTGAAAAAACTACTACGTAATTTCAATCTCCCGCCATTTCGGGAGTTACTGTGCGTAATTTTGTGATTTGGTGTTTGTCTTCTTATTTTGTGACTCGATTTAAATTTTTGAACTGTTTGTTTTATATTCGTTCAAGCATGTGCCCATGTCACAAAGGATGATTGGGCAAAAGTGGTAGAAATAACTAAAATATTGATATGAATAATGAATTGAATATGACTTTAAAAGAGACATTAATTTTGACTACATTATTGGAATTCAAATAGTAATTAATCTAAACCACGACTGCTCATCTAGTTATACTGTAAGTGATTGAATAAATTTATTTTTAATCTAGTTTCAATCTAAAATTTTTATAAATGTGTCTCTAGAAATAAGCAGTAACAACAAATTCGAAGAAATTGATAAATCTTGTATTTTAAACTATGTTTTTAATTTACTCTGGTATTATTTAAACCAAACTGTAAATGATTACCAACTCTAAATAATTAATATCGATTTTTTTTAAGAATCGAATATTGTACGTTTCCATTTTTTTGGTTGGCATGCTTGGTGCAATAAGTCTGACAGCTGTCAAAATGTATTTCTTAGATTTGGTTGACTATAATCAAGTTATTTATATGTGACATACGTGACTTGATTATAAGTGTAAAACCGGTTTGTCTATTTTTAAATTATCCGAAATGTCATTTTGTGAAAAATATTTACATGTGGTTGATAAAGGTGAAAATAATTAGAAAACCTTTATGAAGGTAAAAAGTAAATACATACATCAATGTACAAATTTTCCTTTCTATTTTAAGTTTGGTCATATACATACTTTATATTAAACACTAAAGTGTATTATTATATCTAGCAGAAAATGGAAGATTTTTGTTTTTTATTTATTTATTCTGATTTTTGATTTAGTCTAAACATGAATACAAACCGTACATTCTTAGCTATGAAATTGTTCTATAAAATATTTCAACAAATTCATTTTAGCTTATATTACTGTTGTTTACTTGCACTTTTGTTTTCATTAAAAACAATTTTACTATTTGGATATTAAGTAATATATGTAACGGATAGATAGAGGAGCTTAAATAAAATGGCGTCTGGAAAAAATCACTAAGATTTTAAAAATAAATTGCGGTTACAAAAATAATATCTTTCTTATTAAAATCACCGTAGTGCGGCAAAGTAACGTAATATTGCAGTTCGCCTAGTTGTTCACGAACTGTGTAATTGCCGTGCTTCTTCGCTATAATAATGCATATAGGTACACTACATTACACTCACATTTACCAAATTTATATTAAATTGGGACGACAAAATTTCTATAACATTATGGTAATTTGTAAGTTTATCATAATCTATAACAATCAAATTTTAAAGGATCCATTTCTTTGAATCGTATTACATTGAAAGTTACAGCGTAAAGATTTAAATTCAAGAACATAAACAACATACATAAACTATTGGTATACGCTAGTAACGTTGGCTCTTTTGTTGTTCGGTAATAAAAGGCAAGTAACCAAAAACTGATTCCACGTTCGCTCTCATTTCGGATAGATGTACACGACGAGGTCACTCACGAAACTCGATGTTCTCTTGGTTAGCAATTTCTTTTCACATTATCTAAATGTTATATCTTCATCATAATAAATCTCATCTTCATCTTAACTGTAATCTAAAAAGCCATTGCGGTATTGGAATAATTTTTTAAATTTTGAATTTCGTGCTTTACACTAATTGGCTTATGAGAAATAACGAGTGTTTTTGTCAGGTAACATAATGAAAGAAAATAAAGTTTTAATTAACTTCAAAGTGAGATTAAAAATTTTTGAGCCTTTTAAGCGGATTAAGAAATAATAGAGGCATTGCGTAATAAACAGAAAGTCGTTTAAATAAATAGTTGCATAAAACTGCACTCTTTCATTTTCCCACCTTTAGGAATGAAATTGGGATCACACTTGAGCTACGTATAACATATTTATTAAAAAAAGCAATTCTAAAACTTGCAAAGATATCGCGTAACCAAACATACACACAAAAAGGAACACACAGTCAAATAATAATTGAGAACTTTCTCGACCTAAAAGCTAAAATTCATAGAATATATATTCATAGCGTAGAATTTTATGCACTATACGCAAAAGAATGTAGCTGGTTACAAAATGAGTATTTAGGGTCACTATACATTTAATAATTCCAAGCTAAAGTTTACTCGTTAATATAAGGGAAGCAAAATATTATTTAACATTGAAATTGTAGCGAGCCGTGAGAATGAATGACCCTTTGGAACGGGACCTGGGAATAACGCATTGCAGCCTGGGGCGATATGTAAACACGTCCATCTCCGCAAACGCCAGCGCACCGTACGCCTGCTTCTGGTACTACTAATACCATAACCATAATACTAACCCACATTTCGAACGTTTCGATGATGCGGCTGTTAGCGACCAGCTTGTACTCAAAATCACTCGTTATACTTTCGTATTGATCGATGAAAGTTTCAATGACCGTAAATGGTAAGAATGTAAGTGGTTTTTATGCATCTGTTGTATAAAATAATAGTGATAAAAAGATAAATGTAAATTAAGCTAACGCTTACGTTAAGAAGTAAAGTTTGTCTTAAGGCGCAGCCAGCGTCTGATGTCGTCGACTGTATGATGATATAAGTCTTTAATTTTAGTTTTTTTAGTATAGTTTTTTAATATTATATATATTTCATGTTATTTTAACAAATGTTTTACATTTTTCGTATGGTGAACACATTTTAATAATACAATATTTATTTAATAATTTTAAGTGAGGTAAAAAAAATGATGACGATTATTCTTGGATTTCAATCTCGGCAAAAAGTCAGAATACGGTCGAAATATTTATTAGACATAAGATATAGTATACCTGATAAGGTTATAATGATAAGGCATTAAGCTTTCTAACCAAATACTATAGTAATGAATATGTATTACTCTAGTATCTATTTATTTCTTATCATGGTAGAGCCACGCTCCAGCTATATTATGATTGTAGCACGAATGGGTCGGCTCGACCGGGGAAGGACCACGCTCTCACAGAATAGCAGCGTAAAATAGCAGCTTAATACTGCTGTGTTTCGTATGGTGAGTGTAAAGATCCGGAGACCATTTTTCACTGGAAAGAGGCACTCAATCTCAGTCCTCAAGAGTGACAACGCATCTGCGTTTTGGTTCTTAATCGAGGATAAATGTGTGAAAAATGGTGGACTGTGTGCTCGTTTGTCACCCTTATTCTATAAAAGAAAATGTAATCAAATACACAACCGGAGCTGAAAAAAGCTATAAAGCCAACATATTAGTTGGCAACGTATTAGTTTACAAATATTGTCTATAGCTAAGTTTCTCTCTAGATTCGAATCACAACCGAAGTCATGATATAGGTACTGTGACTACGTAGCCGCAATATGGATACTGTAGCCCCGCGATTAAGGATGAAATAAATATCCATGTAACGATAACTAAAATTAATAATTATTTTAAAACGTTAGAAAGTTTAAAAAATTATAACCGATTAAAAGCAAAATTGATTTAGGGATTAGTTAGTAAGTGGCAATGGGCCAGTGGCCATATAGCTCGCAGAACCGACAACCAATGGGAAAAAAAAGGTTTTTGAGTAGCAGCCCCGTACCGGTAGGCATAGTGTAGGGCGACACCCCACTAAATGGAGTAACAACCTGGTAAGACAGGGCTGTAATGATGATGATGATAAAAGTAAAATGCGTATCCGTACAAATTTAACGAGGTTTATGGAACTCTAAACTGCGACGTCATAATTTATTCTATTTATTACGCAGCATAACGGACGTTAATGTTTTCGATCTTGGTTCATCTCGAAACATTCGACTGAAGCGCAACGGTTAAAGAGAGAGGCTTCGCACAGTTCTCGCGTGCCTTTCGTCGCGCGCGTAACACTAAACATCGTTGCAATTTTATTACGTAACCTTATGAAGTTTTTTTGTTGTCAGATCACAACCTGAAAGCGGTGAACGAAACCGTGCGGCGCGCGGCACGCGGCATGGAGGCAGGCGCGGCCGCAGAAGAATTTATCACTATAGTACCGGTGGGCGAGGGTAAGCCTGCCTTAAAGGAATCGGCTTTTGTAACGGTGCTCACGGTTGGTGCTGCAGCAGGTACTGCAGAAGTTGTAGTACAAAGACCGCGTGGTGCACGACTTGGTTTGGGATTAAAGTTTGAAGGGGGTTCAGCTGCTGCCGAAAAAGTAAGAAGACTTCTTGTGCAGTCATGCGCTGAAGATAGTCCCGCTGCGAATGCTTGTGCTCCTTGGGGTAAACTTGTACCTGGAGACGAAATTTTAGCTATTGACGGAGTATCTGTTTCCGATTTAACAAGGATAGATTGTGTTCGTCGGTTAAAAGATTCTGATGAGATTCTCAAGCTTTTAGTACGTCATTTTAACTCAAATGAGAAGTTGGATCAAAACAAAATGAATCTAGTGGAAGATATCTTAGCTTCGCATCAGACAACTGAAATAACCACAGAAATCGCTTTACCGCCTCCTGTGCCACCTAGAAAACTAGGTAAGAAAAATTCTTTTAAAGAAAAACACATTCTTCAAACGGTTGGTGAACAAAATGCATTGGTTAACATTGACAACCATAAGCAATCTTCTATTGAAAAAGACAATAAAGCTGTAAAACAGCATAGCGTGGTTTCTACAGCAACTAAATTATCAAGGAAGTCTTCCTTTGATAGTCATATACATCGACAAAGTAAGGAAGGAATTGCCTATTTAAAGAAAGGGTCCCCCGACGAAGTGAGGCGTTTAGTTCGCAGATTATCAGATGGTAAAGTAATGCCACCAGATGCAGAAGTTTATATTGACTTACTCTCAAACGAGTGGGAACGTTGCTTAGTTATGGCTGATGCTGAGTCAGATGACACCGGTAGTTCTATTTCGACTGTTGTAGATCGATTAGGATCAATGGCGAGTTCAGTGGAAAATAGTATACCTTCAACTCCAATAATGCAACCAAAAACTTTTGATATACAAAAGGTGTTAAACTGTATCGAAAATATTGATTCAAATATTTTGAAAGATATGACAAATGGTGCATTTTTAGAAAAAGGAATGGATTTAAAGAAAGAGCTTAAAAAAATTGAATACAATTCTAACGGTGGTAGTAATCACGAAAATACTATTCTGAAGCAGAATACTCAGAGTGCGCCAAAAAAGGAAGAAACTGAATTACAATCAAAGAAGCAACATCAGATAAATGATTCAAATAACAACATTGCACAAAACATTACTCGAAAACCAGAAATTGATGAGTTTAATATTAATGAGAAAAATGATACGAAACAAGAGAAGGTGACAGAAAAACCCAAACCAATGCCGAGAAATACGAAAATCGAGCGTTCTTCGTCTGAAAAGAAAAGGAAACCAATTCCTATTCCTGAAACATTACTACCACCTGCACCTGAGCCGCTTCTGACTCCCACTAAAAAGACTTGTATAGAGACCTGGCTGCAGCACTCCGAAGCAGAAATGAATAATAAGATGGAGGATAAGTTTGATGATAATGCGGCACCAGAAGTATTACCAAGATTGATTGATTTTGTTCCGAAATCACAATTTAAAGAGACTGTAAATGAAACTCCTCTTTGTACGCGGCCTACAACTGCTCCACCACCACCTCCCGTTGAGACTCGGGAAGACGGTTCGGGAGCTTCACTTGATACAATCGGAGAATTGGATGAATCTGGCGACGTGACGGATAGTGCGTAAGTATTGTATTTAATTTATTTATCTTTTTATCACATCTAACTAAAGGTAAATATCAATGTATATTCCTCCTATCTCTAATTATGACGTGAACTAAGAAAATAACGGTAAAGAACTAGTGGCTAGGGAGAAATTAAATAACTTTTTAATTGAGGTACGTACGTTATTTTTTTTTTCAAACTATATATGTAGTTTTACAAATGCATAATAATTTTGAATACGGAATTAAATTAAAAGTTAGTCATGCAGGTTTCCTCAGATGTCTTCTTTCATACTTGAATTGGTATTGACTACTTTATGACGGAAAAAGTCCAGGAGGTGCATGCGTATCGAAAACTACTCCAACTCATTTTTTATGCAATTCTTTTCCAATCAATTTTTTTAATACTGATGATATAAATACATGTTGTAAAGCGAATTTTTTCAATCGCAAGGAATTGTTATTTTTAAACGAGACAAATTAAATAATATTTTTTATATATTTTGATAAAATACAAATAAAAAAGGTCTTATGACTTTTTACGATAACGTTAATATTTTCGGAGTTATGAATTTTTAAAAGTTTGAAAAATCCCAAATTCTGATACTTTTGTCAATTAAAAATACATAAAGATAAATAATAAAATGTTTTTTTCTATTCTTTGATTAAATACGAATACCGTTTGTTACCATAAAAGTTATAGGATCTTTTTATTCGTATTTGTCAAAGAATTTAAAAAATATGATATACCTATTATCGGGTATATCATATATAGATGATTACGTAACATATCATAATATATTGATATAAAATACAATTAAGGAAGACAAAGGACGTGAGCACTACTATTATTTTTTTTAATTACTTAATGCAGTATGAAGTATATGGTTTTTATCATTGGCGCATGTTCGTATTTGTAAGCTGATGTTTGATATTTTTTACTGAGCTAAATAGTGGAATGCTCATTGTTTTAAAACGGGTCGCTCCATAACAGTTTGTTTATATATTAAAATTATATTTTTTGTATTTGTACGTTCAAGTAAGTCATTGTGACCTTAGAATATAGCTGAAGCATTAAAAAAAATCGACGACTTATAATAAAATAGATTATCAATAAATTAAATTTCTATCGGTTTCTCTAACACATGTGTAAATATTCGCTAAGATATTTCGTATATTTGTTACTCAATTATCCATGAACGATGTTTTTACTTCGGAAGCAAAAATTAACGCGGAAAAATCAACATGAATGCGTTTCTGTTTTCACCCGGACGGAGCCCCAGGCAGAAGTTAGTATGCATTAAACTTGAATGAACTTTACAGTTACGCGAGTTTCTAATCAGTGGGCCAAACTTGAAATACGAAGTCCGTTATTACTTAACCTCCAGACAACTTTATTACTAATTTATTCATAATCATAACAGGACATTTTGAGAGTTTGCTCATACTCGTAAGAGATAACAATATGCTTATAAATATTAATTTCTTGAGACACGTGGAATTTCATAGAAAATTGCCGATAAATTTTTCGTTTTCAAAAATATGAATTGGTAATTGTACTATAACTAAAATGTTTATCATATTAACAATTTTTTTCTAGCAATTCATATATTAATATTTATTTTATTGATTGAGATGGTTAACCGCAATCTTGATTTTTTTTGTCTTCTCCATCACATTTATTAAGTACGTACGTGTCAAATGCTACTAAAAATATTATTACATATTACATATACGTTCCACATGTCTCATTCTCGAGGGGGAGTCCAAAAAGCAACGAGCGACTCGGGCCACTTTTTGGTTTATTACCAATAATATAAAATGTCATTTATTATTTTATCGAACAGATATTATAAATTTTGAATAACTGGTTTGTCAAGAAAAATTATGTCTGCCGTATGTCGCCGTCATCGGTGAAGGAAAGCAAATTGTCAGCCAACGGGAAATAATCATTGGACGCAATTGTAAAACTTCATTTGCAGATAGTTCATGCTCGTCAGTCGTTAGAAATTACATTTAATTGCTGTAAACTATTTTAAAGCTGTGCAAACATTATTAAATAGCGCTCTGAGTAAAAACGGGGAACTTCCTTTAATACATAACTAGATTAATTTTTTTTTGTATATAAAATTATAACATCGGTCGCATGATTCATCACTTTAATAATATCGGCGGAAGTGTATTTTATTGAAACTATTCCAAGTCAACATAAGATTATTATTATTCCTATAATGATAAATGAAGATTGTAAAAGCAAATAAAAATTGGCCACGATTATACCTACTTATTAAGCTTAGTTTCTACTAAGCTAGACTTAAACAATCAGTGTCCTCAATTACACTTCAAGTACTTCGAGTTCAATCAACTACCTGAAACATGTAGTCTCTGAGAACTAACGCCTTTGACAGACATATAGACACCAAAGCGATTTCATGAGATTTACTTTTTAGGGTTTCACTTTCTAGGGATCTCAAAAGCAAAAAACAGAACCTTCATACGATCACTTTGTTGTCCGTCCTTCAGTTTGTCCGACGGCCAAGATTGACGAAGACTAAAGAACCGGTAGAGATATCAATTTCAAAAAAATATCAAATACTAAGTTCTACTCCCACAGGGTGTTAATGAATCAAGCTCCTACACAAGTTTATTTTTTGCTATTTATGTCACATATTTTGATAGTCGCTAACTCACTCATCATAACGTGTATGAATAGGATACTTCCCGTTGACCTAGAACTACGAAATTTGGCAAAATCCAACGTCCTGTTTACTTATAGTCATATAAAATAAATATATTTGAAGATCATGAACTTAAACTTGTAGTCGTAGCATCGATGATCGTGATGTAAACCGTTTTTGGGTAAATATTTTTTTCCACTACAAAGTTAAGTTTGTTCATAAATCCATTAATTTACCTTTACATTTAAGCTATATACTACATATAATTTATGAATTTCAGTTAATTATTTCATAATTATCATATAATTATTCAAGTTAATTATTTTGATGAAAGTAGCTACTTATTTAACTGCTTACACTGGTTTACGAATTCGTGTATTGAAAACAGACAAACATCTTCGAGGCTAGATTCCCGGAATGGATTAACTATCTACAACCATAATTTGGAACTCTTTGGTGGTACCCTACTGATAATGCTGTTTCCTATCGTCTGTCTGTGAAATTTAAGTTCAGCGTTTTTAATGGTACTTCTGCAGTCATTAGTCGGTGGATAGAGCCACGTGTGTTAATCAGCAAGGTCTACGATCAAAATTGGTGTATTCCCCTTTGCGTAAGATAAATATTTCTGCGCAATGAAAGCAATGCGTCGAGCAAGCTCTCTAACAGATTTCTGCGTCTAAGTAATTTATTCAGTTCTACTTTACAAAAAACAACAACATCACCCGTCTTATATTTTCGATTACTTCTAAATAAATTCATTAATAAGGGTGAAAATAGTTCAGCACATAGTCCACCTTAAGATGTGGTAGAACTATGCTGCCGCTATATAGTTGTAACACGAATGGGTCGTCTCGTCGACAGGGGTGACCGCATTTGCATTTTCATTTTTAATCGATTCTAGATGTAGATGTCTATCCGCTTACATCAAGTAGACTGTTTTGTTGCTATTCCCTTTGTCACATTTATTCAGAAAAAGAAACTTGATAATACGTCTATGCTGTAGCTTCTTGCCTACATACAACCTCGATAAAGCATCACCATACTAAAGCTTTGTTGCCTTTAAGGTCGAAGATTGAATGCCCACTTACCAGTCCAGATGGTTTCCGATTCTCATTACTGACCATACAACTAACAATAGCGTTATGCTATTTTTAACGCTAGTTTTCTGTAAGAGCGTGTTCTTTCGAGTTCGTCTATGCAACTGCAGCTATAATGCTGGAGCAGCCGTGTAAGAAACGTGTGACTTTCATGAATTCATAGCGAGAGAATCTATACCGGTTAGGACGTTAGTACCGTCGCAGCTGTGAGACGACTGGTATCATCCATCCATCTTTCAAGCGTGGTGATATGGCAAACCTTTCTGATGATAAGAGAGACGTGATATAATGATATGTTGTATAGGCTTGTTATGTAATGATGTTAAGGAAGAAAAGAACACGCTCGGAAGAACCGGGAAAGAACGTGTCAATTATTTTTCACGAACGATTATGGTGCCTTTATAATTGATTAAAATATTTTTCGAGATCTTTCGTAATAGATCACTTCCATCAATAATTACAAGCTGTAATCTTCTTATCGGGCAAATTAGTCTTCAAGGGTAAGGACGTATCTGTAACCATTAATGTTGTTCGAAGATGCCTATGAATAACAATATCCACTTGACTAAACCTGTTCGTCATTCTCATATTATAAACAAATAAAAAATTGTCAGAAATTCTAAAGTATGTACTAAATACCATTTCAAACGATTTTGTTTATATAAATACGAAGCTCTAAAGTATTTTCATTGTGTCTCCGCTAACAATACTTTTGCCGATAGCACAGGAACAACGACTGGAAAGAAAGAAAAGAACATTTTGTTCGGAACGGTGACACACATGGAAACTTTTTTGTATTCTCATGCAAACTAGCGAGTAACAATAGTGTCACTGCGAGGGCGGAGTGGCGCTCGCGACCATTGCACCCCTCGTAACTCACCCTGAAAAAGCAGCCAACCTTGTGCTCCCCGTCATTGTTCCAACAACCTACATCTCCATACTAAAGTTGTAAGGAATATATTAAAAGCAATACTGAGCACTCCGTTAAATTTCTATATAGTTAAAATGCTATTTTGTCTAGTATTTTGCTTAGTGCTGATTTTTCAACCAGCAGATTTTAAACTTATACATCAAATTGGAACCTATATATTTAATAATTTTAATAAATGAATAAATTGCTGCAGCTACGAGCAGCTCGTATATTATGGTAGCATCACGAATGGGCTCGACCGGGGAAGGACCACGCTCTCACGGAATACCAGCGTCAATAGCAGCTCAATACTGTTGTGCTTCGTATGGTGAGT